TGTGTGTGTGTGTGTGTGTGTGTGTTTTCTTTATTTAACAATAAATTAATCTTCTTCTTTGTTTTCATTTTCATTTTTATTTTCTATTTTGTTGCAGGTATGTCGAGAAACAAACTCTACATCACGAAAAATTGTCCAAAAAAAAAAATTAATGTACCTTGATTTTGTTTTCCATTATTTCTTATTGTTATAGTCCTGGCCAATTTTGAAGCACACATTGTTGAGAAAGTACAATGCCGTCCAATTGCAAGAACTTGAGAGCAGAGAGAGGGAAAGAAGAGGAAGAAGAAGATGAAAGAAAGAAGAAGAAGAAGAAGATGTACACCAGCAAAGAGCAATGAGAATTCCCTTCTTCTTCACCAACCACTCTCCTCCTCCTTATCTCCTCCCCTCTTAATAATAATAATAAGTGGTAACTTCGGCGCAGTCACCAAAACAGTTTGTAATTGCATTCGAAACTGCGCTTTAGCAGTTTAGTCAGGGCCCGAGTTTCAATTGCAGTTGAAACGCGGCCGTATGCAGTTAAGTCAGGGCCCTCGTCGATCCACAAACAGCAGATAAAAAAAAAAAAAAAAACATCCCTTATGCTGTGATTGTGGTCCGATACAGGATGCTACCGTACTTGCTGAAGCGAGGCAGTTAGCTGCCTCTGGCAGGGCGCTACAAGGACCTGACAACGAAAAACAAAAAAGGAAAACGACCTGTTTCATGTTCCTCACTTCCTGGCCATATACATTCCTCAAAGCACTGGTGACTTGAGGGTCTTCCCGACGTAGGTGGTTTCGAAGTTCCTCTTTTCTTTACTTTTTTTTTTTTTTTTTTTTTTTTTTCTGTTTTTGGCCTCCATCCCTTTCCCGAGCCCCCCACTTCTTCGGAGTAGGCTACTCTCTGTCTCTTATACACATCTAGATGTGTATAAGAGACAGCCCAAGTTCTCTGGCGGTTTTCGCGTTGTCGAACTCGGACCCAACGGCGCCAACACGGTGCGCATCGTTCCTAAGGTTAGTGCCAGCCATAGCTCTGTCCCCATCATCCGGCATACCTCCTACCTCCG